ATTATAATTGTTGACATGAAAATAACTCCTGGTTAAATTTTGCTTGATTTTAGAGATATAAAAAGTCATAGTTTGCCTATATGATCCTTTTTAGAACATATTCTTTTTAGCAAATGGATTACAATTATCGTGTTTTCTTTTTATATATTCGAATTATAAAGACATAAATTATTAAGTATGATTTAAAAACATTTTAACAGTTCCCTTTAATAATACTTATTTCATATACTATTCGAAAATATAAAACATGGTTTGATACAAGTAAAACACAATAGCAGATAAATTTAAACATAAATCATAAATGCATGTTAGTTGCTATGTTGGTGATTTGTATTACCAATGTGTATTTAAATGTAATGGATTAATTTGTTGACCAAATACAATCTTGATAAATATTAAACAAGTAAGGTATGTGCCAAGTACACATTTGTTTGAGTTTGTTCAAGATTCAAAATACACTAAATGAACGGGGTCCGGGGGCAACGCCCTGATAGCGGGGTCCAAGGGGCAAAGCCCTTAGCTGGGGTCGAAAATTAAACCCGGTTTTGACCTTTTTGAAGAACGTGGTTTTATAAAAATTAACCTGATTTTGATATTTTTAAAGAACCCGAATTTATAACAATTTGTGATGATTACAAAATTGTCATGTGGTAGTTTTTGGCAGTGTTTCAGACAAGCAATTTTAGAACAAAGGAGTTATCTCCTATTATTTGGTCATTCTTGTTTTTTAGTTCGGTAAACAACACGGAATCATAACTCTCAAACATTCTCTGTTTTTGATAATTTATGAGTTTCATCCGATTAAAGATTTTGAGAGTACCAACGAAATACTTTGATCTGAAAGTGAACTTCACGACTCTGAGATTATTCGAGCAATTCAAATTCTTATCCCGTGTTTCTAACATGCTACGTATTCATCTTGACGCTTCTTCTATTCCTCAACTGCTGACATTACCTCTTCAATCTCCGGTCATACCAACTTTCCTAAGAAAAACATATTATCATAAACCTTATCCAATAATTAACCATTTTCAAAAAAAAAAAAAAAATCAAAAAATCAAAAAATCATCCTATGAATCCCCCCATCTTTTACAAAATGGTTTTATAAAAATTCATCATCTAATTTGTTATTTTTAAGGAATTCATGTATTTAAACAAAATATCATGTGATAATAACATTTAATAAAATAAAAATATTATTACAATATGTGTAGCTCCAAACCGTGCACAACATGGGCAGCCGCCTATGGCCTATTGTTCCAAGGGGTCCAAAAATTTTATAGGTTATATAATATTTTAATCCATTTTTAAGAAAAGAATAAGATAAATTAGAAGAAACTAGAGGTAACGAAATTCATAGGTTCATATTAGATATACTATTAGAATAGACGGGAAGGAAAGCGTGTGTATGATTATCATTGTTCATCAGAAGATGGGTATGTACAACCAAAATTAAAGGAAGGGGAGGGGTCAAATCAATAAATTGGTAACCTATGACCTTACGACCTATGCAAAAACAAAGCAACAGTTGAATGGATCGGTCGATTTGGTCGTCTCAACTCTCAAATCTTAATTGTAAGAATCTCATTGCATTTTGAATGTTGTTAACCATTATTGTCATCGTAGGATTATATGTTTCAGAGTTGAAATTACTAAGGAATTATTTAAGATAATCGATGCCGAAAGATCGAATGGTTTGACTATTTTATGTATAGAAAAATATATTTTCCATAAATTTGATCCATGCTATTTTTAATGATTTCGTATCCACAAAAAAAAACAATTTCATATATATCTTTATTAACCTTTAAAATATCATATTTATCTGACTTAATATCTAAATACTATAATCACATTTCTTAAATTTTAAAATATCATATTTACCGAAATTTATTTTTTAAACTTTTATAATCAGTTTTTTATACTTTTTAATCATATTAATTTATCAAAAAAGCTAACCAACCATATCGCCCTTCAATATTAAAACTTTTGGCATACATTGGATTGATCGAATTAGCCCTAATTATCTAAACATGGGATGGAGATCGACTCCTAACCCTAAAAAACTGTTTTACCTATCAAAACTAGGGATGAGATTTAGAACTGGAAAACCGGACCGGAACCAAAACCGTTAGAAACCGGAATATGTAAAACCGGTACGGGTCCCGGGTTTAAGGAATGACTATATCCGGGTTCCGGGTAATCCGGATTTCGGGTCCTTCGGGTCCGGGTAGACCGAGTTTAAAAACCGGAACCGTGTTAGGAACCATAACTCGTTTTAAGGGCCGAAACTTGTTTCAATGAAAAGTTTAAAACATGCATATTTCATTCGTTTGAAGTCGGATTGGCATGAGGTTTTTAGTTTTTACATGATTTTAGACTATAATTTTATCATTTTTGGGTTTATAATCATTAACTTATAGTCTCTCAAAGTCGGGCTATCAAAGCTGGAAGTTTTATATTTTTCAGGCTTTTTTTTGTATTTTGTGATAGTTTTAAAACATGCATATCTCATTCGTTTAAAGTCGGATTGACATGAGGTTTTTTCCATAGTATAGTTTATAGTTTTTACATGATTTTAGACTATAATTTTATCATTTTTGGGTTTATATTCATTGACTTATAGTCTCTCAAATTCGGGATATAAAAGTTGGAAGTTTTATGTTTTTCTGTATTTTTTTGTATTCTGTGATAGTTTTAAAACATGCATATCTCATTCGTTTAAAGTCCAATTGGAATGAGGTTTTTTCCATAGTATGGTTTACAGTTTGTACATAATTTTAGACTATAATTTTGTCATTTTTGGGTTTATATTCATTGACTTATAGTCTCTCAAAATCGGAATATCAAAGCTGGAAACTTTATGTTTTTCAGCTTTTTTTTATATTCTGTGATAGTTTTAAAACATGAATATCTCATTCGTTTAAAGTTGGAATCGCATGAGGTTTTTTCCAGAGTGTAGTTTATAGTTTATACATGATTTTAGACTATAATTTTATTATTTTTGGGTGTTTATTCATTGACTTATAGTCTCTCAAAGTTGGGATATCAAATCTGAAAATTTTATGTTTTTCAGCTTTCTTTGTATTTTGTGATAGATTTAAAACATGCATATCTAATTCGTTTGAAGTCGGAATAGCATGCGGCTTTTTGGAAAATGTAGTATAGAGTTTGTACACGATTTTATACTATAATTATGTCATTTTTGGTTTCATATTCATTGATTTATAGTCTCTCAAAGTTGGGATATCAAATGTGTGAATTTATTTTTCTCAGCCTTATTTTTGTAGTTTGTGAAATTTTAAAACATGCATTCGACCCACTTTACCCGATTCCCCAGGTTTTTCGGTTTTAGACTCACTTTATCTGGTTCCATTTGACCCACTTTGATATTTCCGGGTTTTCCAGTTCTAGAACCACTTTACCCGGTACCTTATCCGGAACCGAACCGTAACCGGTTCCTATATACCGGTCCAGTTTCCGGTCCTAAAAAATCGCATTAACCGGTTCCCGGGTTTTCCGGGTCCGGGTTTACCGGTCCAGGTTTGGACCCACTCTCATCCCTAATCAAAACAGTATCAATCCAGTCGATACCCACCAGACCTTTTCCCCTGAATTCGACTCCCAATCGTTACTAGACTGGAACATACTCCTACCCATCGAAGAACTCCCTAAAATGTTCCAAGAAATCCTCAATCCCTTCCACTCTGTAGAGGATCCAAGAGCCAAATACGATAAATTATTATTCTATGGCAAAAATCTTCAACCCCTTGAAGACCAATTCAATACTAACAAAAACAAGGTCGCAAATTGTGTTTCTCAGGTCTGGTTACAAGCTTATTTTGATTCTAGTAATAAAAATATGATTTTTGAGGCTTATTCTGATTCCGTACTGACCAAAGGTTTAGCAATTTTATGGATTCAAGGTGTGTTTGGTCACCATGTGCAATCTTGAGGTTTTCCAAGATTTCATTGTTCATTTGGGTTTGTAACAGATTTTGACACCTTCTAAAAACAATGGGTTTTTGAATATTTTGAAAGCAATGGAAAAAGGCCTTAACTTTATAAGTAAAAGGCTAGAAGGTGAGAAATGGATTGAATCGTCTACCCATATATCAAATCCGTAAAAAAATTGGAATCTAATTTAAAATTTAAGAAATCCGTTGAGAATTCAAATATTGACGACTCAAAATCCGATGGTGATTCACAAATCGAGAACCCTAATATTAATGGAGAATGGTGTTTTGGGAAGTATAAGACAAATGATATCAACGATTCTAAAAGAGCGGCCTTAAACCAATCGAATTCAAAGTCAAAGATGTATTTAGCATGGTGGACATGCACGGGGTGAAAGGTAGAAATGAGACACTTTTTAATTTGAAAGTGGTTTCAATGGAGTTTGAAAGGAAGAGCATGATTAATAGGCATCGACGGGAATTCATTCAAAATGTATTGCGAAAGGGTTTTAATAATGAGAGGGTAATTTGGTCAATTAACTTTATTTGATAAATTAATATAATTTTAAAATAGAAAAAGTTATTAAAACAGTTTAAAAATTGTTTTAAAAATAAATTTGGTAACATATTATATTTTAAAAGTTAAGAAAAAGTAAATATGACTATATTTATATCTTTGAAAAACTTTTTTATTTTCTATTGCTTGAGGCCAAAAATGTAGTTGGATCGGGCACAAGTAAAAATGGTTTGATAATATCGACCAAACAATGAAAGAGGTGGGCCCATTGAGTCGGCCCTAAATGCCTAAAGCATGAACGGAAAGAAAAAACAAAACAAAACACATTTACTAAAATATAAAGTAATTGATAATATGGACCAATACATAGATGCTAGAACATTCATGCATTTTAAATAAATTGCTCAGGCAGGTTGAAATATATATATATATATATATATATATATATATATATATATATATATATATATATATATATATATATATATATATATATATATATATATATATATATATATTAAAATGTCATGCAAGAAAACAATGTAACAAATATAACAGAATCTTAGATTTGGAGTTAGATGTTAAATATCTTCTCCTAAAATTACATTAGAATATAAATAGAAGAGTAGAATAATACTTGATCTTAACGGAAAGGGAAGAAACTACCCCTTTTTTTCTTTGGGGTTTTTGTTGTTTTTGGTGTTATTAGTGCAGCTGAAGCAGGGACCAAAGTCAAGAGGAAGTCTTTGTAATCGCCCAAACAAGTATTTCCAATCCTCTCACAGAGAGATTTCTTACCCCTTTTAGTGAATTCTCCATCGATTAGGGCGAGGTCAATGCTGTTCCGTGTCACTATTACACGTGTCAATGTGTCAGCACTCCGGGATGAAAATGAATCCTCCAGCACCTTCGTAAAATAGCCAACCGGGTCTTCAATACATTGTTGGACGATTTCAAACATTTTGTTTGTTTTAACATCCTTCAAAATAAAAATAAAAAAGTATGTTAGCCATTACAATAACCCATGCTTATATAGAAACAAAATGTATGTACATCAAATGGAAAATCAATGTTGTTTTTCATCCATGAGTTGATGGATGTAATCCGATCATCTGTCATCTTCTTCAACACGTCTTCTGCTTTGCCTGCGCCCACTATTCCACAGAAATCACCGTTGCGTCTCCAGTGTTCTAAATCCATCTTCCCTTTGTACGGGAGTTCACACACCCCCAACAAAACCTGTTTATTCAAACATTTAAAATTATATATTTTTTAAAGTAGGTAGAAAAAAAAAAAAAAAAAAAAAAAGATACAATATAATTCACCTGAAGGTCAAGGGTTTTGGGGGTAATGGCTTTGAGGTCTTCTTTGAAGTTTGTTCTAAAGATGGCGTCATATGCCATGCTAAATCCCACGATCTCTGGCAATGTTCTAGTGCACATTAATTCAACTACCACCTTTTTTTGGTGGAAGTTTTCCAGGTCGTTCAAGGCAACATGCAGTAGGCGGGCATCCCTTTCAAAAGGATGTTGGGAATACATAACCAATGCATTCTGTAACATATAAAGTTCTAAACCAATAAATATATAAAACACATAATGTTATGATCAGTTAGTTTTTATGAAGTAAAATACTTTATATTTGGTAGGTTTTGCTTATCCAGTTGTCAACATATGCTGATATATATACCTGATCTTATGATAGATTAAAGTACCAGGATGTTCTTGGTACAATTACATGACATCAAGTGTATGAAAAAACTAGCATTGTACTTACAGAAATTCTTTTTTTTCCAGCATATTTTATAGAGAAATAAATTTTAATAATAAAACTCTAGAAATTGGATTTTCATTATAAAAGTTTGATTTCCTAATTTGCTAGAAAAAGTATGATTCTATAAAGTATTTTGCATGAAATAGTATGATGCTATAAGATAGTAACTTTGGATTTTCTAAAATTAACCTGCTTCCATTTACTAACTGTTATTTGTATATTGTTTTATCCCAATACACTTAAGAGCTGGATTCTTTGTTTAAGAATAAAGGGTACATTGATCATTTCTGGAATAATTGTGATTTTGTTTTTTTAGGATCAAAAGATGGTGCAAGAATAAGAGGAAAGGGCATTTTGGTCCTTTTATTATGCTATGGGGTTTGACTAATAAAAGTAGAAGGAAAGAGGATCCTTGAAGAGGGGGTTAGGTTTTTACTTTTGAGTTTTGGGTGAAATAAAAAAAAGTAATAAAAGTAAAGGGTATTTTTGGTATTGGGTGCATGAATTGTCCGAATTTGATTTATATCACAAGATTGGATTACCAATGTGTTACATTCCCTCGCCTTTTCTGAAAATAAGGCCAGAGGTCGATAAATTATTCACCCACACAACAATTTTATGTAAAATTATTATTTTCAAAAAATTTAATGTTTACTTTATTTTAATAAGGTCTCACATCTAGATGATTATATATAAAGAGAAAACATGGAATTACTATTACTCCTCAGGTTGGGGAATTGTAAAAATCTAGGATTCTAAAAAAATTGTTTGATACAAGTTAAAAAAAAACAAGTCAAGAACAACTCACTTTGAACACCAGAAATCGGGCCTCCAAATTATTTTGATGGTCATAGTTGAAAATCGGCTTAAGGCCATTGAAATCTTCCACCCCAGAAGAATCACCAAAGACATTTTGCATGACATCTTTACTCAAATTCCCGAAAGTGTTCACTATACTAACCTCGTGGATCCCCATGCCTGCATTATATTGTCATGTTAGGTTATTACAGCAAAAACGATGTTTTGTAACGTCCGACGAAAATTTTAGCTGGAAAGTAAAGATTTTAGCAAAAAGGAATGAACTTTTTTTTTTTTTTTTTGCATATTCAAACATATCAAATAGTAGCTACATTACATGAGATATAGGTAATCTTAAAAATGAAATAAAAAAAAAAAAAAAAAAAAAAAAAAGTAAAATCAAACCATCAAGAGCGTCTTGTAAATCTTCGTTTTCAATTACAGACGTCATTGCTTAACGACGGAGAGAGAGGGGGAGAGAGCAAGAGAGGGTTTTTGTGTGTGTGTGTGTGTCTCGAGTAAGGAAGCAAGAGGGGATTTGTGCGTGTTTGTCCGCGCCTACAAGAAGCAATATAGAGGGAGAGTGTAATAAAAAAATGAAAATTATCTTACCCTTCGATTTTTTAAATATACCCTTAACTTTTGAATCCCTTTCCAAAAAGAAAAATTATGTTTTTTTTTTGTTATATGTCTAAAAATGAAAATTAGGTTTTTAATTTGAATATTACCTCTAATACGACAATCTCATAAAAAGACCATACCAACTTTGCTATTTATTTTTTTTGCTTTGTTTATTTTATTTTTTTAATTACCTATATTATTAAGATAATTAGTTAATTACTTGGGTCTCGCCTATACGTGCACAAAAAACCGGTCTCGGGAACCGAACCGCCTCCATGAATGAAAATCAGTTCATGCGGTTCATCATGAACTGATCCATTTGGTTTAGGACCCAACTGATGGTTTCCATCGATTTGAACATACTACTGTTGGGACCGGTTTAGAACCGGATTTTCTAGGAAGCAATATTACATTTTTTTCTATCTTTTTCTAAAGGCTATATAGCTATTTCAGGCCATTAGAGGCTCGCTTTTTGGCCCCTTTTGTCCATATTAACCCTTCATTGTACATACATGTATTAGATGTTGAGGCTTAATCAAACTACTAAAAACTCTCTTTGAATAAAAAGAACTCTCTCAAATTAAGCAATGGATTTGGATTCTGTTGGTAGTGTGCACAGCTGAGTGGTCCGTTTGTACGTTGCTGGTGGCAGGGGTAAACGGTGGTCATGAGTAGTGAATGATCTTAGGTTTTTTTTTTTATTGAGAGAGGAAGAAAACTCGTTTAGTAGAAAGAGAAATGAGATGATTTCAGCGAAGGAGAAGAAGAACGAATATAAGGGAAGGTGGAACGCCTGGTTTCCGATATGAAATTATTTTTTCTAATTATTTATAATTTTCTTGGAGGACTCGGCGTGTTGGAAGCCTCAACACGGCGTGTCGAGTGGTTTTTGGCCGCAAAATTTAATGAGTCAACTCGGCGAGTCAATGTGCCTCAACTCGACGAGTTGGCAGTTGGGAAGGAAACCCTAATTTTTAGGGTGTTGCACCCTATTTAAAGGTCTTAAGTCCCTTGGCTGGTGTCCCTACCAGCCTCCTCTGTCCAAAAACCCTAAAATCGAGCTTTACCTTCCATTATTGTGTGTGTGAGCTTAGGGGAGAGCCTTGAGTGTTCATTTTTGGTGCATGTTGAAGGAGCTAAGGAATTAGGAGTTGATTGGCTTGAAGAAGAAGTCTTGGATCCAGAATCACTAGCTCAATTGTCAAGTTGTTGAGGTATCAGGTTCTCACCTTGCTTAATAGTTGCTTAGATCTCTTCTTGGGTTAGATTGTATGCTTTTAGCCATGGATGGATGGTTGATGGGGGAGTAGGACGTCTTAAGTGTTTATTCTTTTAGATCTAAGATCTAAATGAGCTCTTTTGGCATAAAGATGCCAACTTTATGGTCTTAAGGGCTTAATGCATTCATTAAGTCCTTCTTTTTGCCTCTTATGAGCATTTGAGCCTCTCCTAGTCATGCATGAGCGTAAAGTTGGAAACTTTACATGGCTATTCAGCTTTAAGCGCCAGATCTGTAGTTTGGGGTTATGCCTTTAGTGATTAAGTGCTTAATGATTAAGCCCTCAACCTTTTAAGGCCTAAGGTTTGGGTTTTAAACCCATTTTGGTGGTTCTTAGTGGTAAACGTCACACCCCCAGCCGAGGCGGCGGAATACGCCAGGCTGTGCAACTTAGTTTATGGATCACAAGCAAATCGAATATACATCACAAGTTACAACAATAACAACATAGCAGTTACATTACACTTTAAGGTTTGAATACAAGGTTCATAATAATGATAAACTCATAAATTTGCCTTATCATATAGGCTGGCATAACAAAAGCTAAATAAAACTAGGTCGCTTGAAATCCATGACTAATCTTCTGACTGGAAGCTCGCTTGGTGATATCCTAAGAATACATGTAGTTTTGAGGGTCAAAACAATGTTGGTGAGAGTTCACAAGTATTCTGTTAACCGCAGTACTGATACTTTAAATGACTAAAAAGTATTCCATTTATAGTTTAAATCATGTTTGAAAATGTTTGATAAAAGAGAAATTTATAAGTAAATTCATACTTAAAGTATTTCATAGACAGAGAAATCGTGAGTAAAGTTCATACTTAAAATGTTTTATAATAGAGAAATCATGAGTAAATCCATGCCCAAAATGTATAGTAATCAGAGAAACTGTGAGTAAATCTATACTCAAAATGTTTGGTACTTAGGGAACCGTGAGTAAATACATACTCAAAATGTTTGGTACTCAGAGAACCGTGAGTAAATCCATACTCAAAAAGTTTGGTACTCAGAATACCGTGAGTAAATCCATACTCAAAATGTTTGATAATCGGAGAATCCGTATCCGTGGTTTCCAGATTATGAAATCTAGTTAATGCTTATAGTGAGTCCTATAACCGAGCTATGTGACTGTACCTACCCCTACGACGCTTCATTGGATGTCGTAAAATTGTTTTAGATATTTATCACCCGCTTCGATTGATCGGTCGAGGTTGTAGCTAGCAACCACGGGTGGGGGTGTCAATCCATATAGATCTATACATACGTATCTCAGCTCCGAATATTAACGGTTATAGTGGTGTGGGTCTTCTAAGTGTTTGTTTGCACTTAAGGTAATGAATAATGTCTCACTCATAAGGCCCTTAACTAGAGTTTGTCATGAAAATCGGTTATACTCGATAAGAAAATCCATAAAAAATGTGTAATGCTCGTCCAAACAAGTGGTAAATCCCATGGTAGTGTACACAGTACATAAATGATTTCAAAATAAGAGTTTGATAACTCGTATATGTACGTTTAGTATGAACTTGAAATACTACAAATGTGGTAACTTTTTATGACATAAGTTTTTTTAACATATTTTTTCATAAAATCATAATATTTTGTATGCAGAAATCATTTGTTATCTATAGTAGTTGTATTTAAAAAAAAAACGGTAACAAATTTGCATAAAACATATTTATCACTAGTTTATTTGTAAATGAAATATTATTTAACAAAATAATATTTAATAACTAGTTTTGAATTCAATAAGTGTTTGTCAAGATCAATATGTGTATATATATATATATATATATATATATATATATATATATATATATTATATTATATATATATATATATATATATATATATATATATATATATATAATATATATATATTATAATATATGGCACATTTATTCTCCCCCAAAGCGTAAAAATATTAAAAAGGGGCCGTATACACTCACCCTTGAAGCGTGAACGAGTATCGAGGGTGAAATTTGTTGCGAAAGTCGTTTTGTGACGTTCCATGCTCTTAAAACGAATCACCGGTCTATTTAATTTTACGTAATAACCAGGAGGGTAGTTTTGGTATTAGTTATTGAGTATAAGTTGGTTTTTAATATAACAAATAAATTCAAGGGGTTAATCTTGCTAAAAGTTTTCGACAAGGGACTGATCTCGTAAATTATTTCAAAAACAGGGGCTGAAAGTGCACATTCTCAGCCTAAGTCACAGTTTTGGACCCATCTTGCTATGATTTTTCGAGGGAAGGGACTGTTCCTGATTATTTTAAGGACAGTTTAGGAGTTTGGATTCAGTTTGTAAGGAAATTACATGGGAAAGGCCATTCTGTTTATTCAGCCTAAGTCACAGTTTTGGGCCATTCTGTTTATTTTGATACATCTTCAGGGTCTGTTTTTAACGATCTGAATAAAAGTTTTCACAGTGTCGTCTTCTTTCTCTCGCTACAGGTACATGAACTGGAACAAGACCTGTTCGTTGGGTCTCTTAGTTCTCGGCTGTATGCTCGACAATGAGTCATCGGAACGAAATGGCGAGGATGGAGATGACTTACCGGAGGCATCCCGGCGGAAATGGCGTCGGAGAATGGCGACGGTGGCAGTGAGCGGGGATGTAGGTGAGTGGCGGAGCTCCGACGGCCTCTTCCCGCCTGGTTTTAGCTTCCGTTTGACGGGAACGATGATTTGGAGAGATATGGGAGGCCGGAACTTATCAGCAGCAGCAGTTGAGCGGTGGCAGCAAGCGGGATGGGTGGCAGTCGACTGTAGCTCCAACTTTCGTTTTCTTGCTGCTCCGATGAGTTCGACGAGGGGGTCAAAAGGAAGCAGCAGCTGACGACGGTGGTGCTTCATAGTAACGGAGACGTGATGGCAGTTGGTTGATTGCGGTGGCAGCCTCCTGCTGCCTCCGTTTCTCCTCCTGTTTTCGCGAGAATTAACAAACCGATGGATTCAGGGGCATTTTGGGGTTTTCTCCGATCAATAGAAGATAAAAGAGTGAGGATAGAGGTGGTGGTTGGTGTTTACTATGGTGGTGATTGATTATCTGGACAGAAGAGGGGATTAGGGGCTGTTGGTTGACAACGGGTGGCCAATGGTGGTGTTTCACGGTGGTTCAAGAACACCGGTGGTGACAATGGAAGTTAAAAGGTGGTGATGTGTGATGGTTAAGGGTGGAGAAGATGGGGTGTTATTGGTCAAAGAAAGATGAGGATTGTGTAGAAACAAAGTCTATATATTTTCGTGTATATTACTTTGATCAGGAGAGGAGAGGGAAAGAAGTTTTACAGTTTCTTCATTTGAGTGGTGAGTTGGTTTTTGACTTTCAACTAAAGTCCAAGCTAGAAGAAAGAGAGAGGGAGGCAGAAAAGGATGTGAGAGAGACAGGGGGCTTATCATTTAGTTATATTTACTATTATTATTATTATTAGTTTACCAAAAAAAAATATAATATTTCACTAGGCAATTAATTTGCCTTATAAACAATTTTTGTTTTGCATGATGGCGGGAAATTTTTACGATAGTGTGGAATGATTTAATTCAAAGATTTTAAAAAACACTAACGGATAAATTTTTAGAGTTGTAGAACTCCGGGGATTTGCGTTTAAAGTTTCGCGTCGAATT